CATTTATAATTTTGAGTTCGTTCCTGGTGTACAGCACAGTGATTCAGTTATACATGTATATTCATTTTCACATTCTTTTTCATTATAGGTTATTACAAGTTACTGAATATAGTTCCCTGTGCTAGACAGTAGGACCTTGGTGTTTATTTTATACATAGAAGTTTGTATCTGCTGATCCCCAGCTCCTCATTTATCCACCCATCCACCTTCTCCTTTGATAACCATGAGTTTGTTTTCTATGTCTGTGAGTCCCAGTGATTGACCTTTTTGTCCCTCCGCTCGAATGCAAGCTCTCTGGGAGCCGAGTCATGCCATGCCTTTATCTGGAATCCATCCCGCACAGGCAGCTTCTACCGCAGTATCAGTGTTACTTGAATGTAGATGTTTAATATTGAATGAATGCAAATTCTCTGCTTCAGTGAAGCAAAGGAGGGCAGATTAAAAATAATTGCAGGTGCCACGGGTGAGGTTCCGCACATTCCCTCTAGATTCCTGCCGTTTGTCCCACTGTTCATGTTTTCCCTTGTCCTTTTTCCTATTCAGATCATACTTGTCCTTCAAGGATTAGCTCTGTGAGTTCTTTGTGCCACTGGAGGGTTGGACATGATCTCCTGTTCTGTTTTCTTGTAAATCCCTTGGTTCTGCCCTCCCCCGGCATCTACGCAGCCCCTCTCCTAGATGGCTGCCGTCTGTCAGGCTTTCAGGCCATGCTTTCAGTGTATGTACCTATCCTGTTGTTTATCAAACTTTTAATTAGTTAATTAATAATAATAAATTATTAATTAGTATGATATGAACTCATGGAACCTTACTTTATTCAATAGGTTATAATCTGTGAGCAGGATTATTTATTTTGAACCTCAAATTGTCCCAAATCTGGCCAGTGGGAGCCCCTTCAATTTAGCTTCTGTGATTTTTGATATGTCCCCATCAAAAGCCGTATGGACGCAGCCTTTATCAAGTGTTCAAATGAATATCACCGGGGTAAATGAGAAAAACACAAATCAGTTCTGAGTTATAGATGCCAAAGAGAGATAACCTGGCCAGCAAGAAAACCCAAATCAAGGGCCACTATACAGAATTCTGTGAGGGATTTTCCTAAGTGTCAGCATTATGAAAGTCAAGGAAAGACTGAAGAATTGTTCCAGGTTGAAGGAAACTAGAGGGATGTGACAACTAAATGCCATGTATGTTTCTGAACTGGATCCTTTTGCTTTAAAGGATATATTTCAACAGGTGAAACTTGAATGGCGTCTGTGGATTAGGTGGTAGTAATGTTTCAATGTTAACTTCCTGGTTTTGATAGTTGTATTAGGTTACAGGAAGAGAATGTCCTTGTTTGTAAGAAATATACTAAACATCCGGGAGTGAGGAGGGATTCTGTAGGCCACTTACTCTCAGATATTTCAGAAAAAGTGATTTCTTCTACTGTTCTTTCAAGTTTGAGATTGTTTTCAAAGAAAAAGTAAAACCCAGAGGGAAACTGAGCCAAGATAAGAGATGGGAAGCTTGGAAGGAGCTAGAGGTGGAGTCAAGCAGAGGATGGTGTGAAATAGCTGTGCCTGAGAGAGGAGGAGGATTAAAGAGTCTATTCAGAAGAGGGGATGGGAGAGGAAATGAGATGCTGACATGGCTGACAGAAACTAAATGTGGGGTTGGCAGTGGATTTGGACAAGTTATCAAGTTAACAGACAAAAGGCTGGGTGAGTGGGAAGATGAATAAAGAAGAGGGTGGGGAAAAAACTAATATTTATTGAATGCCTTCTGTGTATTAAGTACTAGTCTGGGCATTTAAATCCCATTTAACTCATACCTAAACCTGTAAGATGAGAGTCTTATCCACATTTTAAAAATGAATAAACTAAGGTTCAAAGAAGCTGAGTAGCCCAAATTAATACAACTGGTAAGCAGAGCCAGAATTTAAATCCTAATATGTGTGGTTTCAATGACAATGGGATAGCAGAAAAATGGTCTCATCAGGTCACAGCAAGGAGAGAATAAAAATTTTTCCCTCAGAGATTGGAGGGGGCACAGAGACTGAGTGAGAAAATGATGGGGGGGTGTGGAGGTTGGGATTGAAACCAGATCTTGAATAGTTTGAAGAGATGTGCTACTTGAGTCATTGGGGAAATGATTGAAAAGCAAAGAAAAGAGAAACATTGAGAAACACCGTCACTTACAGGTGGGAGGAGACAGGAGCGCAAAGAGGCTAAGAGAGTGTGGTAGGCCATCTTCCAAGAAAACATCCCATGACCCTCGCCTCCCGGCATTCACATCCCTGGGTAAGCCTCTCCCCTTGAGTGTGGGCTCGATCTGGTGACTTGCTTCTAATCAGTAGAATGCAGCAAAATTGGCAGGATGTCACGTCTGTGATCTTGCTAGCAAATTCTTTCTTGTTGGTTTCAATGAACCAAGCTGCCATGCTGAAAAGGACCATGAGGTAGAGAACTGAGGACAGCCTCCAGCTAATAGCCGGCAATGAATGAGGCCCCCTGTCTAATCTTCGAGAAACTGAATCCTGCCAACAACCATATGAATGAAATTGGAGGCAGATTCTATCCCAGTTGAACTTTGATTGAGTCTTATTCCTCTTGTGAGGGAGAGCAAAGTTAGGAGTGACCTGGGTCACCATCTTGGTGATGTCACCCCTCTTGATGGGGTCTAGTGAGAGATTTTGAGCCAACCCTGTGGTTGTGGCCTGTGAGACACCTAGAAGTGGAGGATCCAGCTGAGATGTATCTGAACTTCCACTCCATAGAAACTGAGATGATCACTGTGCTGTTTTAGGCCGCTAAGTGTGGGGAAACAGTTGATCTTCAATATCCGAGGGCTCCGTAACTCCAAATTCACCCACTCACTACAATTTATCTGTGATCCCACATCAGTGCTTCTCATGCTTTCATGGTCATTTATGGGCAGGTACAGAGCAGTGAAAACTCGAGTTGCCTGATGCGTGTGCTCCCAGCTGGGGTTGAACAAGGCCAGGCTGGGTCTTCTGGTTTCAGTTCCCATACCATAAAGTGTCGTTTTCATAGTTTACTTAGTGCTGCATTTTTGGTATTTTTGTGATTTTCGTTTTGGTGATTTCACTGTTTAAAATGGTCCCCAAGCAGAGTGCTGAAGTGCCATTGAATGTTCCTAAGTGCAAGAAGGCCATTTCTCATGGAGAATATTTGTGTATTAGATAAGCTTCGTTCAGGCATGAGTTACGTTCAGGCTTTTGGCTGTGAGTTCAGTGTTAATATATCAACAATATATATTAAAGAAAATGTACTTAAACAGAAACACATATAAAGCAAGGTTAGATATTGATCAGTTGATGGGAGTGTGACCAACGGCTTGCAGGAACCTAACCCTGTATTTCCTCTAAGAACAGTGGTTCAGTATGTACGAATTCAATGTTCTCACTGCCTGTATAGAACATAACTGCCTCAACTAATGAGAATCAACTGTAACCGATTATGTAGCAATAGATAACAAATATGGGGGAAAACAGGGCAATTCAGTTCACTGTGTCTGTGGGAGAAGCGTTCCATAAGCAGGGCATAATCAGGCAGTGAGGGTGCTGGTTTCTCACTGCGGGTAAGTGAGGTCGTGGATGGCAATTATTAGTGTCTGTTGTCTAAGTGTCACTAAAATGGTTATATATCAAAAAGAAATAATTTTGCTTGGCTAAAGAGAGGTGTTTTGATTGGATGCGAGTGAAACTCCCCAAGAAAATTAACTTCACAAGGCAGTCTCCACGCTCTGTAAAGCCCACAGCTGTTTAAGGACTGATGTGTCAGAGATTCAGTTGAAAGCTCCACGACTGTACCGGGTGATGTGGCCCAGGGCGGGCTCCTGGCCGCTGCAGCAGCGCCGATGCCACCGACACACGGGAACAGTGCAATGACGGGAACTGTGGGAGGGAACAGCCCCTTGAGCACCTTAACGTAGCTTTTCCATAATCTGTGGCTGAAAGTTTAAGGTATTTCCATTTTATTCACCTTTAACTTCAGCCTATAAAAGGCTCTTGTTTATTTTGATTTTTAATTAGGCTCCCAGCTTCATCCGGATCCCCACTCCTACCCTTGTCCCCTGCACTCACTCTAATGAGTGCACTAAGTCATTAAATAGGTATGGGCTTTGTGTAATATGTAGCATTGCTTGTGTGTGTGGGGGGGTTAGTATTTCTGTAATTGGCACTAGGCTATACCACACTGAGTCCACTTTTCCCACCCTACCCTGATTTAAGTATGGCTCCATCAATGTGTAATTTGTTGCTTCAGACAGCTGTGTAGTATACCGGTGTGTGTCCACCACACGTTACTCATCCTTTCCCCTGGTGCCAGATGCCCAGCCTGCTGCCCATGCCCACGAGCACGGTTAGGTAGAGAGCAGAATGAGTGTAAGCGTCCACCTTGCAGTAGCAGGCTCTTTGCTGGCCCGAAATCACTTCTCAGTCTTCTCTTGTCCTTCCTCCCTTCTTTGGGTAGAGGGCAGTAATCACAGAACTCATTCCTGGATCCTGAGGACATGTGCTCAATTTCTATAGGGCGACTTTCCATTTGGTTCCTTCAACAACTTTCTGAGAGGCAGAGGCATACATTTGCTTATTAGGTTTAAAAAAAAAAAAAAGCTCAGTGGTAATTCTCACCACTGCTTGATGGTTGTGAAAGTGAAAAAACTAAAATGGCATTTTTAAATTTAAGAATAAACATTATGCCCTGAAAAGGCAAGGGAGAGAGAAAGGAGAAGTTGACAAACTCAGATAACCACGAAATATGGAGATGCTGCCAAAGGGAAAAACTGCTCACCCAGAGGGTGAACAACACATTCCGAAAACTGAGCTCAGAGGCATGGAAGGCAGAACTGAAAAGGGAATGAAGTTTGGGTGACAAGAAAGCCAAAATTTATATTGTCTTCAAGTAACAAGTGCCAGGCTAGATTGATATATCCAGATAGACTGCTGCAAAGTGAAGCTAGAAGAAGATTCTTGCTGACACAAAGAAAGCCATAACTTGTGGAATCAATTTTTATTTCTGAATTATATAGACAGACTATATATATATATTGTTGTTACATATTTTTATATTATTAATTCACACTATTTAGGTAGAATTTATTTATTTACCAAAAGAAAGGTCTAATAGATACTTTATTCTGAGCAATCCAATACATGGTAGAAAAAACCTTTAAATATAGAAAAGATTAATTTGTGCACATCTAAATGTTCCTAAGAGAGCAAACTACCGAGGCATTGTGATCGCATGAGAGTTGCAAATATAGTACCATAACTGAAGACTCAAAATGAGACCTTACTAACACAAAGGCGCGGAGTAGGGGCTTCCTCACGGATGTCGGGGTACGTCTTAGAAGACAACCCCGCAGAACACTGTATGGCTTCAACAGGAACGTCCGGGTTTTCTTCCACCCCGTTATTGCTCTCAAACGAACTTTCTCACTCCTTGCAATATCATCTGTGTAGATTTTTGTTCTTTCTCTTAATCAGGGACCTAAGTGAATAGCAGTTGCGCTTTGAAAAAAAAACAATACCTTTGTCCCAATGACCCCTTGGTTCCCTTAACTACAAGTCTCCAGGAAAAGTGCAAACAATTCTCCGAAGTCAGAACCAAAGCAAGAACGCTCAGAATGCAAGAGCTAGATAGCTAATGTTGTGAATGTGTACATCTGTCTACCTATCTGCTTAGGGGTTATTTTCTCGGGATTCTATTTACTTGGTCTGAAATTACATGGTGGCTTTTCTGTAGCACGTGCAATTAAGTTCATTTGTCTCTTTAAGATACTAAAATAGCAGACGCCTAACTGTCAGAATGGTTATGCAGCCCATAGAATAGCCCAAACAGAACCACCCAGAAAGATGCTCATAATTTCCATGTAGGAAGATGAAGCTTCAAACAGAATACCACCTGAGTAGCCTTCCGTGAATGGGCTGGACAAGTTCAAAGAAAACGTGAATGGTGAGGCTGTTGTTGTGTCTGGCTGACTGTCACAAGAGCCTGCCCTCAACAGCGCTGTCTCCACAGGTTCACACCACCCAGCTGAGCACTGGATTCTTCATTGCTTCCTGTGTCTAGGGAGACCATGTAATTCATCTTCCAAAATGGGACACAACTGAGCGAAAGGGAGTGTGGTTAATAATTCTGCCAGGGCAGCAGTGAACAGACTGGGTGAACAAACTGGAAAAGTGGGTCATTGCACTATGTCAACACGAAGTTCTGGAAGAGGCATAATTTGGGCTGTGAAAGGTGGAGGTGGGCTATGGGAGAAGATGTGCTCCAGGAGTTCTCTCTCAGACAAGCCAGATGTTATGAGAGAAGAGACCTAAAAGAATGGTTAAACAGGATACCGAGTGGAAAGGGACTGAGAGGGGAACAGAGATAACTGTGGCTTATGGAGGAAAGGGGGCTGACTTGGGTGTAGGAGAGCATGTCTGGAAGGTGGATAGGGGACGGACATGAAGCAAATGTCAGTGAAATTCAGTCACCTGTGCAAAGATGTCTACTTCAAAGCCTTTCAAAGTTCATGACACTCAGGGCTCAGAGTGTCCCGGACCACTCTCCCAGATGTAGTCACCACCCTAAGACTATGGTGGAACCCCACTCTCTACTACCTTTCAACTTTCGCCAGCTTATTAGTGCCAGGTGGTACCGGAGACTGCGACTGGTTCCCAGGGTAAGGTCAGGACCTCAGCAATGTCTGTGAACAGCCAGAAGCCTTCTAAGCAGGCTTCGTTTGGGGTCATGTAGACACCACCTGCGCCGTGCTGCCATGGCTAGGGCTCCGTGCCCTTGTCAGCGGGCCATGTGTTTGCCTGACTGTGGATGCTCACATTTTCTTTTTGAAGAGTAAATGAGTTTGTAACCTTACTTGCACCTTCTGTTAGACCAACTCATATCTGAATACAAATGGGGAGCGGGGAAGGTTGTATGTGTTGGAGCAGGGCTCAACAAACTTCCTCTATAAGGATAGTAAGTGTTTTAGGCTCTGTGGGCCGCTCGGCCTGTCACAATTAGTCAGGTCTGCTGCTGCAGTACGAAAGCAGCCGTGGAGAATTCGTCAGCAAATTTGTGTGGCCATGTTTCCACAAAACTGTATTTACGGGGACTAGAATTTGAATAATTTTCATGGGTCATGAAATACTAAAAGTGATTTTTTTTAACCCAAAGTCTGAAAACGATTCTTGACAAGAAGGCCATCCGAAAACAGGTGGGGTGCTGGATTTGCCCACCCCTCCCTCCGCTAGAGGCCCACAGATTCTAAATCACATTGGTGTTTTAAAGGGCATGTGAAGACTATGAAGGATTATTTGCAGATAATAGTACATACTCGCATTTCATTTTAAACTAGTGGTTAGAGTGTTTTAAAGCGGATTACTTTTCATAATGCTTGTGAGAGAGAAATGCAGATAACTGAATGTCACCAAATAATGACTTTCTGAGTGGGCCACCTTCTGTTGGGTCCTTGGCACTTCAAGTGTAACATCTGGAACTAAATTTATGGCCCAAAGTGCTAACAGTTACCCGAAATGGGGACATTGATCTTTGAGTTTCTCAACGTGGAGGTCTTCAACTTTCATTGGAGAAATGATTTTTAAAAAGACCAATTCACAGAAAACATGAATTTGATAACTAAAGTTAAATTGACGTGAGTCAGGAAGCTGGCATCCTTTTGAGACACTGGAGGTGATTCATGTGGACGAGAACCAGGTGGGCACGCAGCCGAAGGCGGTGTCACACCTGTGTCTAGACTGTGGCTGTATTAAGCTAGCGGAGGACTTTAAAGGTGGACTTACTGCCACGTGGGCTCAGCTTCCCTCGGGAGCATTGAGTCCCGTGTATTTTAAACCTAAAACTGTCACCAAGGAGAAATCCAGTTAATCTACGGAAACAAATCCACTCACAGTGAACAGTGGACTGAAGTTATCTTATTGGTTAATACTAGTCTAAGGGATGAGATGCCACGGCACCAGCGGTCAATGGAATATTGATACAGAAGGTCCTACTTTCTTGCTAAGGTTCAACGCAAATCTGTGAGGCACATAATTGGCAAAATAGGAAAATACACACAATTTCATAAAGCATGTTATAAGTAAACAACTTCTCTTACTGTTTTTCCCCTTAGAAATTTAGAATGGCACCAGGTAGTGCAAAGTGGAAAGAAAGTACCATCAACCCTGTCTCTTCCAGGTAGATACGTTCCAACAGAACCACGAAGCAGAAGAGCATCCTCTTCTTCCAGCCACGGCCAGCTAGGGCTTCTCTTTCAGCTTCAGATTAATGCTTTGGAAAAAAAAAAAGGAAGAAAAAAATGAGAAATGGAATAAGAAACGTTTAGTAATGATTTGGTGAGGCCTGTGTTTGCTTTTCTCCCCCTCAAAGGACTTACTTAAAATAAATCATGCAAGTTTCTTCTAGAAGAAAAATCTGGTAAAACACAATCCTCCCCTAGTTACTGAGGCTTTCTCTAAAATATGGACTCTGTTTATTTATTCTTTTTTACCAAACTGTTTCTGGAAGCATTTTACACCTTTCAAAATGACCTAGGAGGCAAAAGACTCATTTGCAGGCTCATTTTTAAATGAATTAAGATAATGAATATGATTGCATTTTGGAAGTCTACCTATTTTTAGTAAATAAGCTTTCCTCTTGGGGCAAATAAATGATCTGCTTGAAATATGGAACATCTGACAAACGTTAAATAGTAAGGCAGTGCCAAACAATAAAACAATGACATAAAGACAAAACAAGCTCACAACGCAACCCCAAACCAACATTTTCTAAAGCCAAAGGATTTGCCCAAAAGGGCTTAGCCTACCTAAATGAGATGCAGTCTTATAATCTAAGAAAAGCTTGTTTTAAAGAATGTCTACTGAGTTCCCAAATATCTAGAGAATAAATCTAACGTGTCTTCAGGCAACTTGTGTCTCTTCCACCTCTTGCGGACATAACACAGCTTCCTGGCACCTATCAAAGAAGAGGGCTACAGCCAGTGCACACTCAGAGGAAGGATTTCAGCCATGAATAAAGAAAAGCGCTTTGTTCAAAAAGGGCACTAGAGGAAGTATGTATGGATTTCGCTTAGATCTGCCCTCCCTCCTGAGCCTTAAAATCTGTAAGTTGCAAAAGTTACTGTGCTTTGCTTGTGGAATGAACACTGTTCATTCTCTTCACTCTGCAAATAAAGCCACTGGTACCCCGTTCTGCCAACCCATCCAGCTGACAGGAGTCAAGTCTCCTTCCTTTGAAATACCCTCAGCAATTCCACCACCTACTAGCTCTGGGGACTTGGCCAAGTTACCTTCCTTCTCTAAGTCTCCATTTCTTTATCCGTAAAATAGAACAGTCGTCGCTCGCTCACCGCTTGCTAAGAACTGGGTCTAACGTGTTTTCAGTTATACATAATGAACAAATATTCAATGTCTAGTAGCAGTAGCAGTAATATTAGCACTAGTAGAATGGTAGTGGCAGCTCAGTGTCTTTCTGAAATGGGAAAGTCATCGCCCTGCTTAATGACTCTGCTTACAATCATCTTGTCTCCTTTGGGAGTTTTCAGACCCCACCCTGCTGACTGTCAGAAGAGGCCAGGTCGTCATGGATATTAACCTCTTTCTTATCCCCTCAAGGATCTGACTTGTTTTCTTATCAGCAGGGTCTTACCATGGAGGGGTCATCTTTCTATCCACTCTGACCCCTAGATCTTTTTTCAATATGCTTTTACACAACAGGTCCTTCCTAATCTTGTTTTTGCTTCAAAAATGTACTTCCCACCTGCAGTTACTCCCAAAAGAATGTATTAATTTGATCGATGACTAGAATTTTATTCTTACTCACATGGTGGTGGCTCAGTTTCTCCCATAGATCAAGAGAATATTTATTAAACCAAAATTTGGGGCACATTGTCTGAAAAGCGTGAATGGGGTCAGAATAGTTGAAGTCATCTTAACAAGTTTACAAGTGCTCGGTCACTTTGTTTCACTGTGTAGGCTCCTGATAAAAATCTGAAAAAAACACACTATTTTGAAATACCTCATTTTTTTCATGCTGATTTTTCTATAAACCTTTTTAGGGTTTAATTTATCCCTTCAGCTTTTGATTTAAAAAAAAAGAGTCTGAAAGATTGAAATCTAATAACCCACTTTATGGAAGAAGCAAGAGATAGTCAAAAGTGGATGATTTTTAAGTAAATACAGGAAACCACACTGAAGATTAATTTCCAAGACAACAGTTACCTTGTGGAGCTGGCGAAGCTATGGACGATGCTGCCAATTTAAGTCTCCCCACATAGAACCTCTCCCCCAGGTCATGTATGCTTTTCTTCTTTGTGAGAATATAAAAAGTCATGTTGCAAGATTTAGGAGATAAATGAATAAATAAAGTGCAGACCTGAAAGTGAAGGAGATAAGCACCTACGGCTACTTTTAAAAATAGTGTGCTTTTTGGGAAGAGCTTACTTCTAATCAGAATTGAAGATGGAAGGAGTCGTCCTCATCTTTGCACTGGTGGGCTTAGCTTTCCACAAGCAATTTTCCAGCGAGACAGTAACTTTTCTCTGGGCCATTCTGGCTTCTAACATGCGTTAAACGAGGTTCCTTACAAAGTGCCTGACGGTGTTGTTTAATGATGAGTGCAAACTCTCACGTTGTCTGTAGGAAGAGCAGGAAGGTGGGCTTACCCTCCCCTTCTCTCTCGGAGGAAGAGGAGAGGCCATGATGGTATCAGCACACACTTCATTTTCTTCCTGGCCTGACTGAGCGCCTTGGAGGCGCCTTTGCCCATTCTGTAGTTCACCCACGTTCACTCCTGGCTAGAGAAGGTATAAAATGCTTCCACACAGGAACCAGCAGGTAAACAGAGCCCCTGATCCTAGTACTAAAGAAAGCCAGAAGTCCAGGGCTGGACATCGGCAGAAAAAACTCTCGGCCACTCTGGCCCCTCGTGCTGGCTCTCATCCTCTGCCCTGTGGTCATGTGCCTGGTTGGGAAAGAGAAGACTAAGAAAGGGGAAGCAAGGAGAGGACTGTGTTCTAAGAAGTGGGAAGTAACGTTAACAATTTGCAGCACCCCCTGTCCCTCCCCACCCAGCCCTGGAGTGAACCCCAACAAGAAGCCGTGCTCTGCCCTCTCCCCAGCCCCAGCAGCCCTGTGTACAAATGAGGAGCCAGACAGACAGAGCAGGCAGAGGAGTGGGTAAGCCCGCAGATGTTGCAGCGACAGACTAGCGTCAGACTAGTGACAGACGTTCCCGCCGCACAGCTGTTAACTACGGGCGCAGGACTCTGCTCTAAGGGGCGCTGTATTTTGGAGGGAGGGATGATTTGCGAAAAGAATTAGACGGACTAAGGGCCTGTGGTATTTTTGTTTTGAATAATTTTGCACGGCAGTTGGCTTGGAGCAATTGCTGCCTTCATTTCAAAGAGGAGGGACCAGTGTAACTTTCATAAAAGTAGCTGCATGACTTCAAAGGTCTTCTTTACAGCTTTTGTTCTCTGTGTACTTTTCAGTAAAGACCTTCTTGCTGGAGTTTTTGTGCATAAACTTCCTTAAACTGTAAGGTCACCATGGCAACTGCAGGGCCTTTGAACTGAGATTTTCCAGTTTCCCATCCGACCTCCTCCAGGGAAAGGAGGTCCCAAGAGAACCAGAGGTGACAACAGCAGATACATTTACATGTGATCTTTGCCCCTCCTTCTGGATTCCTGTGGAGAAGGACAATGTTAAATTCTCCATAACTCAAACCAAATTAGGAGCCCCTGGGCGGACGGCCAAGTTCTGTGCACATGATGGTGGCCACCGTTTAGTCCCTGAAACTGACTGGGACAAAAATGAATTCTGTTCTCTTAGGTGACAGATTTTGTTCTCCCTGGTGTTCGGTTAGATCAGAAGTTGCACACCCATTCCCATGATAAGACCACCTCTCACTTGATTTCAAAACCACTGGCTCCGGTGGTTGGCGGACGGGTCGGCTAATCTTGCTATGCTCTTTCCTTACCTGGCTTATCCTGCGGGTAGCAGACAGTGTGTGTGACGCTTTTTACATAGAACTTGGCACGTGGTAAGAACCTAATAAGGGTTCCATTTTTGTTCCTCACAAGATGAGACTAGATGGACCAGATCATTTCTCAAGTTCCATCCAGACTCAACTGCCCCTTGAATTTTCAAAACAAGGACATTGTCTCTCCCGTCCCAAAATGGTAAGTTGCAGGGGAAGTCCCTACTTTCACTAATTAAACGATGAATGCTGTAATTCAGGAAGCAGAGTTGCATTTCTCTTGCCCAAAGCTTTTACATCTGGCTCTAATATTCAATTTCTCCTCATTTTTGGATTTGGAAAGACAGAATGCCAGCTTAGGTCATCTTTAAGACAGTTAGTGGTGATCATGAATGAGAGAGTGTTCAGCTGGGACATTTCTTTCTAAGTTCCTAACTTCAGGAGTAGAGACTGTGAACGCTGAACATCTGAGCGGCGTTTACCCAGTCCTCAGCGTATATTTTTCTCCCAGAGCCCAGCCATACAATACGGTAAGTAACCACATAGTCGTTAACGGTGATGAATTCTTACTCCTTCTCCATAGAAGACATTTCTGGATCATTGTAAAGGCAGCTAGTTCTGAGTGCAAGGAAAAAATAGGAAGCAGTAAACATTTTCTCCACTGTTACCACTTTGTGAACATGACAATTTGGGGCTTTTTAAACTGTTCTGTGTGGTCCCATTGCTACTACTGAACAAACCTACACCAGAACAGATGAAGAGGTTAAGCTGTGATTCTTTTACCGTCAGTTTGGAAATACAGGAATTGCACATGATTTCGAAACGTAAAAGGAAGATTGAGAACTCCAAACACCTGCGGCGGTCACTTCCGTCCGTGTCATTTTTTCCCGGACTTTTCAGACTAGCTTATCCAGGGAACATAATACTGCAAATTTTTATTTGTAACCCAATGGATATAATATTTTATACACAAAGGACAGTCCCTCTCAAGCAGCCTAATTTTATTTACATGTAAACACAGTTAACTGTGTTTTTACAACAATGAAGATTTTCCAAGACATTAGAAGGAAAAATGCCAGTGTCAGCTTTCCCTGTTGGTCTTGTTACAGAAAAATAATAGGACACTGCCTGACAGATGAGCTGTGTTCAGGTCCAACAAGTGACTCCGAACATTAACCTAAACTGGTCGTGTCCAGAAAGGAAAATGTAACCATACAAAATAATGAAAGGGAAGTTTGATTGTGCTGTGTGAATGTGTTTATGCTTTTTGATGTACTTTTAGCTGCTTGTGAGATTCCATACTGGTGCAACTCCTCTGTTAGCAAATTTCAAATTTGCTTTATATTAATTTCCAATGAATACTTAACACTTCAACTTTTACTCCCCCCCGCCATGGTAAATTTTTTTTGTTGTTGGCAGACAGGCGCTATTTAAAGAGATTCTGTGATGCTTTTTACATGCGACAGTTCCTTTTGTGATGGGACAATTTCACAAGCCAGTGTATCTGTTGGCGCTGTTTGTTATTAACCTTAGGTGTTTTGTTGAAAGTGGCAGAAGGCTGCCTCCCTGGGGAGGGCAGAGGCCCCTTTGTCCCCTCTCCGCTCTCCCTCCCCTTCTCGCTGGTGGTGGTGTTTTTATGGAGGATATTTGGCAACTCTGGTGAACAAGGACAGTCAGGCAAGTGTTGACAGTGCGCTAGAAAAGCCCAGGAAAGCTGGAATGGAATCAAGAAAGGGCTCTCTTCCAAACCTAGCTTTTCTGCCTGTTAACTTTGCGTAATCCTTCCAAAGCAAACAGCGACTTGCAGTCACGTGGTACCATCCCTCCAAAGGCAGCGGATGGATTCTTCACCATTTTCAAAATAAGAAAGGCTGTCTGTATACAATTTATCCTTCGAAAGTATTTTCTTTCCTCTACAGCTCTAAAGGTTTAAGGAAAAAATAGGGCAGGTGGAGGACATCGCCTTCTGAAAGTCAGTTAGAGGTGGAGGTGGTGTGTGTGGGTGTAGGTGGGGACAGGGTAGAGTTTTAAAAATGCTAGTGGGAATAAAGCAAAACGAGACATAGAGGCTTTGTTCCCTGACAAGGTGTATACTTGCTTTTGTTAGAGCCAGCCTGAAGCTTTCTGGTTAAGGTCATGTGGAAAGTCAGGGTGCTTTGGTTACTATGAGGAATCCGGTTTATCTGGCTTCTAGAATCTAACCATAGATCTGCAGTGACCATGCTTTCTGAACCCCAAATCATCATCGACGATCTGTTCGAGGATTTGGAGGCCACTTTGAAGCCTGAAAGGCAGCTGAGAAGATGAAGACAAGTGTGTCGAAATAGTAGGATTCTGGGGTATTTCAATCGTTGGGGGCTGGGGGTGGTCAGTGGAGTAAAATTAATTCTTCCACATTTTCAAATTTGCAGATACATGTCAATGCTGTCTATCTGTAATGTTGCCATCAAAAGAAGTAGGGTCAATTGGAGAATTCAGACAGGTGGCTTACCCACTAGACCCCCTAGGACAAATCTAATTTTTATTCATCCATTTACTTTAAGGTGGTTATTCTCAAAGCATGGTCCTGAGACAGGTAGTATCTGCATTACTGGGAACTTGTTCAAAACAGAGTCTGAGTCCTGATGAATCAGAAACTGGGAGGGTGGGTTTTAACAAGCACTTCAGGTGATTCTGATGCACAGTTGAGTTGGAGGACCACTGTTCGACAGCAGTGATCTTAGTCTTATGTACAGTCACCAATTTGTGCAGCAGAAATGTGCTAGGCGTCAGCAGGGTGCTTGTGGTGCTTCCCCTAGGAGGGAGATCAGGGCAGCTCAGGACCGCCCAAGACCGTTTAGATACCTGGGGAGAGAGGTCTGTGGAGGTAGAGAATAAAATGAACTTGAGAGAAAAAGAAAGGGACACAACTAAACCAAAAGTGGGGAATGTTTTCCTGCGGCAGGCAGCCACGCAGGAAGAGGGGAACTGTGGAGGGAAATACCTATTGAAGGAGGCAAGGTTTTACGGACGTGATGATATCGACTATGTCTTGATAGTGGGTTTGCCTGGAGAACTACTGCCATGCCCTCCTCGTCTTTCGTCTTGAAAACAGCTCCTTCGTTTCATAAATATGTTATCC